ATTTTGGTTTTATTGTTAGAAATTCCCATTGATGATGAATTTGTACCTCCTCATACCAACATTTAGAACTGACAAGATAAAAATCACTATCACAATTAAAAAAGACGACAAAAAGCATAGTGTAATAATTTCCCAAGCCAGTCTGTGATTTATTCTGTTTTTTCTCTGTAGACTTATTGATGCAAATTATGCTGACTTAGAAAACTTTTTCAAAGTTTACAATGTCATAGAAATTGTGGTAAGGAACAATCATTTTAACTTGTTTGTTTTTGTGAATATTACATATGGGTACCATTTATATTGGTGAGTGGTGAGACGGCTTATTTTCTCTATTTTTGTTCATATTTTGTTTCCAAATGAAATGCTGTAACTATAATTGAAATAGTCTAAATCTAAAAGTAATTCAGACTCTCAAACGAAACAAAACTTTTAATGTGCTTCACATACAAGTTTTTAAAATTATAACCAAGTGTTTCAATTATTGTACATGTATTAATTTTCTCTGGTATTTTTCTGCACTATGATTCTACATGTAATTTTACAGTGAAGCATTGAATTCTATTTCTACATGATTTAATTTTTACGGATTACATTCATCAGCTAAAATAGCAAAATTTTAATCCAATGCATAACTAAATGTGTTACATTATCAGCCCTTGTACTCCTGCATTTGATATTAATGAATGATATTTTGTTTCATAGCCGGCCGTACCGTCTAGAGAAGAAGATCGTATATCATTATTAGAAGCAGCACTAGTTGCCATTGGCATCATGTTATTTATCGGCGTGCTCATTTACATCTTCTGCATATGTTGGATCAGACACAAGTATGTTAAGAATTATACCCTTTTTTCTTGTGGTTTAGAGCAGAATAGTGTCAAACAATGTATTTTTCATTCATTGTATACATTGCCTGAACATAGACACAATGTGATGTGCTGACTGTAGCACTTTATGCACAAAATGAAATTACTCCTACCACCGACAGCGCTGTCTTTCATGACATAACAACACTCATGGCACACTCACTTTTTCAATTAAAGGGCGGTGGTCTACGTGCTGAGCATATGCGACATTTGTATTGATAAACATTGATCTTCCTACAATCCAATGTGCTCTCCCAATGGAAATCATGATTACAAGTTTTAACCTGGGCACAACATGCACTAATTACTGTCAATGATTGCTTTTAATCACCAAAGAAATTACCTAGTTAAATCTCGGTAACATATCAGTTTGTACTTGTTGCACTCCATAAAATTACAGTCAAAGTCGCTATTGTTGTTCGTATGAGACCCATATCTCATGAATTCATGGCCGGACCCCCACCATCCTTAAAGTG